TTGACTTCAAAATTACTTCAACTAACAATTACCTACCTTAACCAAACTGTGGGCTCCGAAAATTCGGCCCCGGCCTCCCCGCCGCGCTTTTTCTTTTTTTTTTTCGGCGAGGGAGTTTTAACGAATTAAGTTCCGAGGTAAATTTTGGAAGGCAGATGGGTTTGTAGATAAGACACTACCTAGAGATTTCGCCCTCATTTTGCAATGACTTTTATGATCTGAGTTCTGGTTTCCTATAGGCGCAAGCCCCTATAGTTAATTACCCCTCTCGATAACGAGACAGAACTTTTGATTAAGGCTAGTCATCGATCAGATACGTATAAAGAATATGTGTTATCTGACATATAGTAGCAGCAATGGGTTTGGATTTGGAATTTGGGTTGGAAGATTGATATTTAAAAATAGAAATTTGCACCATCTTGCACTTAAAGCGGATGATGGGGGAATGGATGATGGACCCGATCAAGATCCCATGGTTCCGTCGTCCCGGGCCATCGTGGTCCCTGGTCTACTTAGTCAGAGAAGGTAGTCGACCCAACCTGACAGAAGGATCCATGTCGACAGCCATGGGTTGCTTCGTCCAAGGGGACCTTGTAGACCGGGATTGAATGTTTGTCTAAGGGGACAAATTTGAATCCACCTTAGCTAATAGAGGGCTTTGTGCCCTATCAATCATATCCTATTGATTCATATCTCAAGGATTTGATGCCAATAAGGAGCGTATTGGCTCTGGCCATAACCGGTATTTCGTGGTGCCATTTGGCGGCAAAGCCACTCGGTTCAGAGGGCCCCGGGTCGTCGTAACCGTTTATCCTGCAGTGCCATTTGGCGGCAAACCGCCGGTCAGAAGACACGTACCACGTCCTTACTGGCAGGAGACTGTTTGAGAATGTATCCTAGTAATATTTTCGACTAGGCATTTAACTCTTTTGTGAGCTGAAGTAAATTTTAATTTGTCCACCTCGGCAAACTGTTGCGGAGGGTGGATGGATTTTGCTTTAAGTGTTTTAGGGATAATTTCAATTTTAAATATCTTTGGGATTTTTGGGATTTTGGATTTCTGGAGTATTTGGGTGGAGCTTTGGATTAAATGGACCCCTCCGGTTGATATAAATATTCAACACGGCCATCATCGGGGTGACCTTAAGGTCACTTGAAAAATATTTGAATTTTGTAGAAGTTTGATTTGAGGGCATTTTGAAATATTTTGTGAACCCCTCCGGTTGAGATCATCGTTCAACACGGCCATCATCGGGGTGACCTCGAGGTCATTTCCATTTTATTGAACCTTGTCGACCCTATCAACTTAACGATAGAGGATCGGGTTTCTCGTAGGCTTCATGCCTTTTGTTTAGTGAATTCTTTTGATTGTAGGCCTTGAAGGCCTAATATGAATGTATTGAAACAAATACACCGGTCGCCACAACCGTGTATTCGTTTAAAGGTTCGAACCCTGTCGACTTCTATTTATCCGTATAGAAGGATCGGGTTCGAACAAGAATTCACTTATTGACCCGCGCAGCATCCCTAGACGTCACGTGTGTACCAATAATACGCTCGCCGGGGCCCATGCAGGTGTTTGGGGGCATTTTGTAATTATACCCTGTCTACTCCCTTTTACCTGTTTAGGAGGATCGGGTTCAAATTTAGTAACCCGCGCAGCATCCCTAGACGTTACGTGTGCACCAATAACACGCTCGCCGGGGTCCATGCGGGTTCTTAATTGCTTTTACCCCTTTTTAGTGTACCTATGTGTATACAAATTACAGTGCACGTACAGGAATATTTTGAAATATTTTAGTTGTGCATGTAATTGCTATTTAAATGCATATAATATTTCATTTGAAAGCTTATACACGCCTTCTATCCGCTAGTACGAGTGTTACGGATCCGGTGGCGTGGCGTTGTAGATTGTAGACGCCTTATGTCTGCTTGTATAAATGTTGCAGATCCGGCGTGCATCTTGGTGTTGACTCCCCGTTTCTCATTCATCGGGGAATTCTTCTGGACTTTGGGGTCAATGATTGCTAATCTGGAAAGAATTCCTTTCAGGATCTTAGGTGCAGCGGACCGTTATTTTCGGTATTTGTAGACATCATAACTGTTTTCTTCCTAAGTATGGGACAAGGAAGAAACTTTGGAACACCAGGAAGTTTAGTTCTGATTTGTTTGAACTTTCCTCCCATTCTGCCAGGAGGTATCCTTCTCCGTACATCGAGTTGCCCTTGTACCCGACATACTTGGAGATTTTGGTCACCGCTGTCGTAGGTGATATTTGTACTTGTGTCCACAGTGATTCGTTGTTTTTTTTAATACATTGTTGTTATCCACAAGTATCCATTTGCAGGGGACCGCTGTATCCACTACGACCTCCTAAAAATGTTTGTAGAAAACCCATTGCTTCTGCATCATATCCACCCTTTCACCAATCTCGGGTGGTTGATGATTGCACTTGCTTGTGGGGGGTAGATCTTTGATTGTTGGTCTCCAGTATTGCCATCTCAATCAACAGGCAGTGGTATTTATGTTGGAGATTTGAATGGTGCATACGAGAAGAATGCCCATGCATTTCGTTCTTGCAGGTACGATGCACCCGATCTCGTAGAAACTGTTGTAAGAGTCTACTACGTTCTTTACTTGCATGCATTGAGGCCTTTTAATTTAAATTTCCTCGTGTGTAATCCGAATCTTGTCCTTGTATGTGTTTGGATCCAAGTCTAGTTTCATTCAAACTTGACATCAACTTTACAAGTCCCCACTTGATGTCGTATAGCCCGAGTTCAAACATGAACTCGAAGTACATGTTCAAATTGATTGTCCAGGGTCCTCTGAAGTTTTTTGCAAGTTCATTTTCTTGTTCAAATGATTTGAATTTGAGTTCAATTTTGATTTGATTTGATTTGATTTTGACCTTTAAAAATCATTTAGAATTTTGTTCAGATTTAGGTCCACAAGTCCTCTGTTCTTCGTACGAGTCCTCTGCTCATTTAGTTCAATTTATATGTATTATTGTTCGAGTACAGGTCTTCTACATTGTTGCTCAAGAAGGTCTTCAAATTGTTCAAGTCTTTTGTACATTTCAGTGAAAATTTCGGCAGCACCCCGGCATATCCCCCGTTTGGGGGAAAATAAGGGAGCTGGGCCTTCCCACCATGCTACTAGAGCGTGTATGGTAGGTGTCCTTAGTCACCGCGGCCGTACAATTTTCATCCCACCACGCTACAAGAGCGTGTATGGGGCCTTCAGCAGTACCCGTATAGCAGAACACCAGTAGCTCTCCCCACCACGCTACAAGAGCGTGTATAGGGCTTACCCACCTCGCCGTATGCTTCGCACCGGGCTCCCTCCTACCGTGCTACAAGAGCGCGTATATGTGGTTCCCCGGTCCGCTGCAAACGTCGAGCATGGGATTTTGGAACATCATACCTTTGCGTAGCGGTGTCGGCGGCGATGTCGGTGTTGAGGTCGAGGACTGTCCCCACCACGCTACAAGAGCGTGTATAGGGCTTACCCGCCTCGTCGCACCGAATTCCCTCCCAACGTGCTACAAGAGCGCGTATAGGGGGTCCACCGGCCCGTCAAGCGCGTCGAGGACGGGATTTAAGTTAGAAATGTATACCTTAGGGCCCGGCAGGGAGGACCGACGGCGGAGTCGTCTGTGACTGTCGGCGGTGTAGGGCACGGAAACCGAGGTAGGAGGAGCGTGCAAACAAGCAAAACTTCTTTTTTTATTATTAATCTTAATTAATAATAATTAAATTTAAATAATTATAATTAACAATAATTAATTAAAAATAACATAATTAATTATGATTAAATTTAATTAATCATAATTAATTAGAAGTTATTTTTAATTTATTATAATTAAATTATAATTAACTTAATTAATTAAAATTAATTTCAATTAATTAAAATTAACATAAAATATATATTTTTTAATGCATTTACGGGATTTGGCTGAGAAGAGCGTGAGAGGAAAAAAGTTACCTTCACAGCCCGCGAGCTCCTGTGCTTGCCTCCGATCAAACTAATGTAACTTCCGATCCACAAGGAAGGGATGACGTCGGAGGAGCGAGGTCCGGCCAGCAACGAGGGAGCCGAAGCAGTGCACGCAAGGGAGAAAGTTACTTTCAGAGCCGGCGAGCTTCCCGTTCCTTGCTTCCAATCAAGATGTCGTAACCTCCGAGCTGATTCTCAACCGCGAGCTCTCGTTGTCGTCTCCGATCAAAACGTGGTAACTTCCGATCGACTGGCAGGGAAAGTCGTCGTCGGAACGAAGTCGCCCGGCCACGAAGATGTCGGAGAAGCCGCACGGAAGGGAGATCGTTAGCTTCACGGCGGGCTCCCGTCGCTTGCTCCGATCAAAATGTCGTTGCTTCCGATCACAGGGAGAAGGGAAAGTGAGAGGAAGGGAGTGAGCTCGGGTGCGTAGAGGAGGCCGAAGGCCTATTTTTCGTTGGCCTTTAACGACTCGAGGTGGGTCGTGTGATGAAACGACTCGAGGTCGTGCGAGGAGTGTCGCAAAGACGTCTGCGACGTGTGACGACGTGCGCGGGACGGCTACGACGTGCGAGCAGGTGAGGTAAGGGATTTGATTTTTTTTTTTTTGTTCTATTTTTACGGGTCAACACAAACATAGCTCATCAATGTATAACAGTTGCCACAAGAAGTAAAAGGTTATTACAAATTTTGTTCTATTAGTCACATAGTCGATCATCCACAGCGGATTTATATTATTACTCCCCCTTGAAAATTAGCCTTGTCCTCAAGGTCAAAATCTTGGTCAGATTACTACAAGTCTTCTATAAAAACACAAGAAACATCTGCCGAAGCTAATCCTTCCCACTAAATTAAGTATTGCTTAATCTATTGATTGTTTTGGAAAACAAACACTGATTATGAATAGTCACCGGTTGCAACAATGATTGGCCATCGATGAAGTGTGCTAGTAAGGTTTCATGATATAAGGTTGATTCAAATGGTTTTGTTTGTTTTTCTAGGAAAGATGTAGCTGACCTTCAAAACAAGGAAATTGCACTGAAGAAAGCAGCTGCTAAAGGCAGCAAAGCTGAGCAGAAGGCCAAAAAGAAGAAAGTGGAGGAAGATATCTCCCAGCTTATGTCCCAACTGAAAGCAAGGCACTCTGAGGAGCTTGCTTCGTTAGGCTACAAGAATGAAGATGTTACTGGGGAAAACAATCTAGATAATATTGTGATGGCTATAGCCGGTATTTCTGTTAAAAAATCCATCGAATCCGCAAAACCAAGCAAGGGAGCCAAAAGGCGGGAGAGGAGAGCTCAACAAGAAGCCGAAAGAGAGCAGAGGATACATGAGGAGCAAAGTAAAATCATCAGCGATCGATCGATTGAAAATGAAAAGTTGGAGGAAAAGCTCATGCCTCTTGGATTGACCATCAATGAGATCAAGCCAGATGGTCATTGTCTCTACCGAGCTGTTGAAGACCAATTATCACTTTACCCAAGTAAGAACCAACTATATAGTCACCAAGAACTGCGTAAAATCGCCGCTGCTTACATGAGAGAACATGCAGTGGATTTCCTGCCATTTTTTCTTGCTGATGGAAAGATTGAGATGGATTCAAATGATTTATCATTAGATATTTTTCATAAATATTGTGAAGAGGTCGAATCCACTGCAGCATGGGGAGGTCAGCTTGAGCTGGGAGCTTTAACTCATTGCCTCAAGAAACACATAATAATATTCTCTGGGTCTTTCCCTGATGTTGAGATGGGTAAGGAATACAAGACCGAAGGTGAAAGTATTGTTTCCAATCCAAGTATTTTGCTATCTTATCACAAGCATGCTTATGGGCTTGGAGAACACTACAACTCGGTTGTCCCTAGACAGTTCAAATGAGACAGAATATTTCCTTTCACAGTTTTACCTCAAGTATATGAAAGTCCCAAAACTGGGTTTGCCACATAATTCACAAGATAATTCCTTATCTCAGTTGTCTTTGATCTGTTTACTATACCTGATTGATGAAGAAAGAATATGTAATTTTGTAGCCATGACATGAAGACTGGCAGGTATGTAAAAATTTGGTTTTTTTTTCCTTTGATTGAGTAGACATTTTATTCAGTTTAATGTAATAAATCTTGTCTTGAATACTATCATTTTATGTGAAAATGTGAGATTGATTTTACATAGTTTTTTTCTTTAAGTGCTATCCATGTCAAATCAGCTAATGTGTGGAGACAATTGATTTTGCATTTACTGTTCTTCCTTACAGTTTTTTACATGATTATAGTCATAAATTTTCTATATGTACCAACAACAACAACAACATCAAGCCTTTGTCCGACTACGTGGGGTCGGCTACATGAAACATTTTTCTCCATTGTATCCGGTTAAAAGTCAAATTCTCGTTTAGATCTAATAAAAAAAAGATCATTTCTAATATATTCTAATCAAGTCTTTTTAGGTCTTCCTCTACCTTTCTTAACATAAGTCAAATCTAATATCTCTACTTTCCTAACCGGGTCATTGGAAGGTTGCCGTTTTATGTAACCAAACAATCTAAGGCGACTCTCTCTAATCTTATCTTCCATTGATGCTACTCCAACCTTTTCATGTATATGTTCATTTCGTATCCCATGCATTCCACTTCAACCATCCAACTTGAATTCTGCTGATAATATCATCTATTTCACCATCACTCTGCACAATAGATTATGAAGCTGATAAGAAATAGTTTGTTTATAGCTGATGATGATGATAATCTACACATTTTCATTAATGCTTCTTGTAAGGTGAGGTTATTCTAATAAAACATGTTGCTTGAACTGTTCTTAGAAGGGCTGTAAAGCATCCCATACAATTATTATAAGGGAAGAAAAACAGTCAAAAGCTTAAGTAGTCTGTCCTTTTTTCTTTTTTTTTTTGCTTTTGGCCAGTTTCAGAATTCTAATGGAATAAAGTCTAGAAAAGAAGATAGGACTAGGCAGGAAGAAAGGTTGAAGAAAGAGCTAAAAGCTAGAGACTGATGGGAACCTAAAGAGATGAATGATGATTTGCAGAAAAAATTTCTTTAGCAGGTAATAAACTTTTCATGTTTATCTTAAAGAACAAACCACTTTGAGCACACAAATCATTCAGATCAAATAAACTAATTCTGGTTGGAATGGAGGTCAACTTTCTCTATGATTGTCTGCTCATAATTTATTTTGTATAAATGTTTGGTTCTTTATGTTGCTTTTAATTGTTAACAAAGATCATCATTGATCTCTCAGCTTGTAAGTTGAATGTCTAAGTAATAATGATAATTAATAAGCACTGGGAAATGATTTTACCATCTTTGCATCATTATACATATAATTGGGAGAATATATTTGATGTATTTTTTCTTTCAGAAATATACTGAAAATTTTCATTTGGATAAAATTAACATCAATAAGGAATAACCTCTTGTATTTGCAATATGTTTGAGGCTTCATTTGGGACGGCTTTCTTACTGCTTCTTAAAGTAGCTTTATAGTACAACAAATAGTTTTTTTATACTAAAATTTTGTTTTAAGAAGCAATAAAAAAGTCGTCCCAAACGAAGCATGAGATAGTCATCTCAATGCACGTCCCAATGAGCTCAGTTCACGAGTTCATCTTCTCCTTCACATTTCATTGATCACATTGATAACTTTTCTAACGAGCTCAATTATGAATTCTTCTCCTTCACGTACTATCGATCCCATTGATGCTTTTCCTCTCAAGCTCTATCGTGGCATCAAAAAAATGTCCTTCACACACCATTCATTCTACGGATGTCCATACAAAACTTAAAAAAAAATGTCATGCAAACTAACGTTTGAAACTTGATTTTAACATAGGTTACTATCAAGCTCGAAATAGTTTCATTGAACTTTGACTTCAAAAAGCAATATGTGAATAAAACAAGTTATTCCTACAACAACAACAGTAGCAATAATAATATCAAGTTGTTGTCTTACTATGTGGGAGCGGCATGACGGATTTAAGGGGGGTTTACAGGGGGGGGGGAGGTGGGGGGGGAGGGGGGGGGGGGGCGGGCGGGGGGGGGGGGCATGATTCCTTTACACAATGCTCATTGGCTCTCACCCTCTCTTTCAATCTCTCTTTTACCTTTTCTCTCTCTCTCTTTCTTTCTCCGACATTTTGTTGTTTAGCCCCTAGCTCTCTCTCTCTCTCTCTCTCTTCATTAAATTTAATTCAACCAATTTGTTTATTATTTTCAAAATTTTAATTGAAATTACACTTTTGCCCATCTATGCTTCTTTTAATACCATTAACTCAAACCTCCATCATAATAACCTCATTGAATAATAAACTCCCTCATCTTTAATAAGCAATTGGTCCACACTCCAAAGTCGAAATTCTCACTTCCCATGTTGCATACATTCACATATTAAAGCTTCATTTGGGATAGTTTTCTTATGACTTCTTAAAGTAACTTTTTGATATAAAAATTAAAAATTGTATACTAAAAAGCTGCTTTAAGAAGTAGTAAAAAAGCCGTTCCAAATGAAGACTAAGACTTCGTTTGGGACGGCTTTTTTACTGCTTTTTAAAGTAGCTTTCTAGCAAAAAAATTAAAATTTTGTATTAAAAAGTTGTTTTAAGAAGCAATAAGAAAACCGTCCCAAACAAACCCTAAATCTTAGGATCTTTTTTTTTTTAAAACTTTGAACAAATTAAATTACAAAATCATATAAATAATACATGCAATCTTCGAACCCAATATTTCTTAATGAACAATCTAAGCTTCAAAACAATAGACCAAGGTGGATTGCTTAAATTCTAGTTGTTGGTTGTATAAAGCTAGGCTTTATTTGGGACAACTTTTGACCACAACTTTTTTTTTGCTTTCAAGAAATTTTTATACTAAAAAAATTGTTATAAAAACAATAAGAAAACTATCTCAACTTAAGCCTTAGCTCATTCACATTCTCCATCATTTTAAAAATAATAAAATCAAGTGTATTGTAATAAAGGGAACTTTAATTGGAAGATAAGTAACAAAGATGAATTATGTTCTAGTAAAATCTAAGCAATATGCTTTTCCTTTTTAATAGGAGAGATAGAGCATATCCTATGAGATATAGGACATTGGTTATAATGGAGGCCACTAAACTTTGTCTATTTGCTTTATTAAAACAAAAACAAAAAAATTGTTAATGTAAGTTCATCATAATTAATTGAAGCATTAAATTACAAAAAAAAATTCATGCAAATTTGCATATTTTTTATCATTCATTGATTTTTTTTTCTTTTGTTGTTAATCATTAGTGTGATAAAGAACAAAACAATTGGACTATATTATTGTTATGTAAATTATATTATTGGCATAGATAGCTTTTATTAATGGAAGATGGGAAAGGAAGGTAGGAAAGGCATCTTATTAAAAATAATAATAGTCAAAACTAGCTATAATGGTTTAAAGGCTAGTTTTCCTTTCTGTTGTTGACCGACCTTTTTTAAAAGAAGACATGAAGAGTAATTTATGAGAGGATTGGTTGATTTTAATCTCTCAGTTAAATAATTTTGCATTTGCTTATTGCTTTAGCTTTTAATTATTATATCTCTTTTGGTTAATCTTGTGTACTAAATACTATTTTTTATTAAAACTATCATTCCCTTTGAGAGAAGGTTGAAAATAGTAGGAATGATTTGTTTTCTTAGGGGATGTTTGGTTGGCATAAAAAGGAATGACGTGTATTTGAAATACTTTGAAGTTGTTTGAATGAATGTAAAATAAATACAGAGAATTATTTTTTTCAATGAATTCAATGTAAAGCATGGCAATGGGCATGTGCCCCCCCCCCCCCCAATCCCCCCCCCCCCCCCCCCCCCCCCACACACACACACACACCAAAAAAAAACCCACAATTTTAGGGTAGAAATTTATTAGATTTATTGGTTCACCCGTTTCAGCCATTCGGCCCATTCATGACAATTTCTAATCGTAGCCTCTCACAGGAAGGGTTTCATCGCATGCACGCTGACGCCGCAACTCAGCTCTTCCTCCCAGTCCCAACGGCGACAGGCGGCGGTGGACGATGGCCGGCGGATGGTGTGCCTTCTCCTCCCCTGCCTCGACCTGACTCTCACTCCCTTTTGCGTTAGCTTGCTTGGACGGATTAATATCGAGGCCTACAACGTGAGAGGTATTTTTTGTTGATTTTATAAGTTGTAATGTGTTATTATATCATTTGTTCTCTAAAATAGGCTTGTTCCTTGCAAATATCTTTCTACTACAATCTAAAATAATACAATGTGAGAGGTATTATTATTTTTTTGTTTAGTTTCAAAGATCTTCCTACTACAATCTTTTGTTTGTGTTGTCTTCATTTTGGTGTATTTGTTGTGAGATGTTTGACTTCATTTTGTTTGATTTTGTAAGTTTTTCTTTTCTTTGCATTTATAAGTTTGTTTATGTAAGTTTTATTTATCTTATCATTTGTTCTCTAAAATAGGCTTGTTCTTTTTTGAGTTGTATGAATGTGTAATGTATTATCTTGTTTGATTTCTTAATAGATATCTAATCAAATTAATCTTAAGGCATCTTTGAGTTCGAGTTTGAATATTATGGAGAGATATTTCAAACGATCTTCAATTTCAAAACAATCAAATTATAATAGCAATCAAGTTGAAGATCATAATGAAAAGCGCATTCGAGTGAATGCTGATTTACCCAACAATATAAAAGTTAGTGTTGAAAATTTTCCATCTGATCCAAGACTATGAATTCCTATTATTGACTTTCATTCTAATATTTGAGATGAACTTCGTAGAATATATTTACAACAAGGGCCATTTCAACCTCGCAACCATGATTTTTCAAAAACTAAATTCAGGATGAAAGACATACAATTTAATCCTACTTGATTTGACAAATACTCTGATTGGCTAGAGTATAGCATAAGCAAAGACAAATCATATTGTCTTTATTGTTATATGTTTAGAAAACCAGGTAGAGTCAATGAAGAGGGAGAAGCTTTTAATAAAAATGAATTTTCGAATTGAAAAAAATAAAAAAATTTGATATTCATGTAGGAGGTCATAACAGTGCGTATAATAATGCTAGACGTAGTTCTAAAGACATATTGAAATAGAGTCAACATAGTGATTTTGTGTTCCAAAAGCAATCAGATCAAGCTACATCTACATACCGCACTTGGCTTAATACTCGTGTTGATTGCATAAGATTTCTTTTAAAGCAATGGCTAGCTTTCCGAAGACATAGCGAGTCTTCTACATCTAAAAATTAGGATAATTTCTTGAACTGGTTCAATTTTTGGTTGAACATAACAAAGACATAGAAAATGTGGTTTTAAAGAATGCACCTGAGAATTTAAAGTTAATTGTACTTGATATTCAAAAAGATATTACTAGAACATTCGCTATTGCTATTATAAAGTTTATATCTGAGGAGATTGGTGATAAATTTTATTCTGTTTTAGTTGATGAATCACGTGACACATCCACTAAGAAGCAAATGGCAATCGTAGTCCATTTTGTTAATAAGAAAGGTGAGATAGTGGAATATTTTTTTTTGAGAATTTTTCATTTATCATATACAACTGCAAATAGTCTTAAATTGGTGACTAAACAACTCCTATCAACATATGATTTGAGCATTTGTAGAATAAATGGTCAAGGCTATGATTGTGCTAGTAATATAAGAGGGGAGTTTAATGGTATAAAAGCTCTATTTCTGAGTGAAAATCAATCATCACATTATATTCATTGCTTCTCACATATGCTTCAATTAGCATTGGTGGCAGTTATAAAAAGTCATGTTCATATTGCCTTATTATTTACTATCATTTCTAGTGTAATGAATCTTGTTGGCGTTTCTTGTAAGCATCACGACCTACTTCAAGAAATACAACGTGAGAATGCATTAAATAAAATTTAAAGTGGAAATCTTTTACCTCGCTAAAGCTTAAATCAAGAAATAACTTTTAGGCGTGAAGGTAATACGCAGCGGGGTTCACATTATGAATCAATTTTAAGATTAATTATAATATTCTCTACAGCAATTGATGTTATGGAAATCATTTTTGAAGATAGCTTAAGCTCAGAACAAAAAAGTGAGGCATATGCTTTATTAGAATCGTTACAAACATTTGAGTTTTCCATTTGCCTACATCTTATAAAAGATGTTTTTGGTATCACTAATGAACTATCAGAAGCTTTATAGAGAGGAAAACAAGACATTGTTAATTCTATGTCTCTGGTGCGTATATGTAAAAAAAGACTACATGATATAAGAGATAACAAGTGGACTGAATTCATCAGTAACGTAACCTCATTCTGTGAGCAACAAAAAATCAATGTTTCACATATGGATGACAAATGGGTTGCTTGTGGTTGGCCACACCGTAGAGCTCAAGATATAACAAATTTATATCATTTTCGGGTTGAAATTGTTTACACAATGTTGGATATACACCTTCAAGAGTTGAAAATTTGGTTTACAAAAGTAAATACCGAACTGTTTTTGTGCATGGTATGTTTGAATTCTAATAATGGATTTTATGCCTTCAACAAAGACAAGTTGATTCAAATAACATAGTTTTATCCAACTGATTTTAGTCTTCTTGATCATGCAGTTCTTGAAAATTAATTGGATACTTATATCATGGATATGCGATCTGATGATCAGCTCACGTCATTAAAAGATATTAGAAGTCTTGCTGAGAAAATGATCCAAAGTAGGAAGGATATAATATATCATGTTGTTTTTAGACTACTATAATTGGCATTGGTATTACCCGTTACTATATCATGCATTGAAAGAGCATTTTTTATCACAAATATTATAAAAAATGAGTTGCAAAATAGGATTGGCGATCAATGAATGAATGATTTATTAATTGCTTATGTTAAAAAAGAAAATTTTGATTCTATTGATAATGAAGTAATCATTTAACTCTTTCAGAATATAAAGAGTAGATGTTATAAATTGTAAGTTGTTTAATGTCTTATATTTAATATTATATATTTTTGGATAATTATTAATAAAAAAATTTTAAACCTATTTATGCCGATCCCAAGCCCAGATGAAAAAAGTTGAGGAAAAATTTTAATAAAATAATTTAGTCCCCCCTTGATAAATTTATGGCTCCGCCATTGGCTCCTATCATATATAGGTATGCAAGAAATGTATCAGTTTAATAAATATAAACAAGATATGACACCTGATTACATATGTTTTTTTGATATCTAGTCTTGTAGGTCAAACCTATGGGAATTAGACTCAATTATGGATCACAAGTCAGTCATGTGGATTTCATGTAAGAATTCATCACTTCTTGCCCCCGTCAAGGTGTCATATCATATTAATCAATCTCCTTATGCCTCTTTTTTATCATCAAGACAACACCATAAATCTTATTTAAAGAAAAACTCATCGTCATACCCTCTTGTATATGATAACACATGACTCCATCCAATCTGATTAAATCAATCGTTTATAACCAATATTTCTTACTTATTTTCACACAAGCCACGTCATATAGAGCACGATAACAAGCATTATATAAATATTTAATATAATATCAACACACCCATCAGTATGCCTGGAATATGTCAAAAATATATGTTGGCATAAATGAACAATAAATATGTGTATATCGTGCATTTCATATTAAATGTTGTACATTACTTCCTGATCATTTTATAAACTAATGTTATTCTACTTATTTCAATTAAAGTATCAAAAAATCAAATTCGCCTGGTGAAATTTCAATATTAACTAGGAAAAATATTAGAGAGGATAGTAGCAATCACATATCAAAAGTTACACAGTGAAAAGTCATTAAAAATAAGACATAATACATTTTAATTACTTTTATGAGAGATAAAATTTGAGGAATTAAAATCTTTAAAAATAGAAGTTGGATTTATGTTACCTACCATGATTCGAAGACTTTTCTTAACTCGAGCGATAGACAGAAACAACTCGAAGTAGCTTTCTCTTTCTTCTCTCTCTCTTCCTTCTACATGCTTGCCCTCTCATCCTTTCCTTCCCAGACCAACAAAATGGTAGGAATGGGAGGGTGGTTGAGTGGAGGAGAAATTATATTTAAAAACACAATTTCGTGCACAATGTAGCAGAGCGCCAACCCGACATTGCAGTGATGCATGCTCAATCTAAAGTTATTACAGAGTATATAACATTAATGTCGTCGTGTCAAATGCTACAGTTACGCCCCACAATGCCGCTGCACTCAAAAGCACAACGTTGCAACACTTTAGCTCAAAATTTCAAATTTTTTCGAGATTTTCGTTTTAAATTTATTTACAAAATTCTCATGCTATTATAGTGGCAGTGACAAATGAAGGTGGTGGCGAGCTACGACAATTGTGGCGGCTGCTGATAGTTGTGGTGGACAACAAAAGTGACGGGTTGAGGTGGCGGTGGACGGAGGCGGTCAGTGGTGGTGGTGAGCAATGAAGAATCACCCAATTATGAGGAATTTCAAATACACTAAAAATGAATTAGATGATGTATTTCAAATATAGCAAAATTTTACATTGCATTTGATTTAAAACTCTTGTATTTGAAATACTTTACACCCCTTTTATTTCAAACAAAACAACTCCTTATGAAATTTCGTTGACTTTGAAGAATGTATGATGGCTTGAAATTCTATGGTTTCCTAATAGAATGACGAAGATAAGAAAAAAACTCTAATATATATACACACACATATTACATATGCTAGGGTGATCTGCATATTAGGCTAAGAAGTTGCTTGCATAATAACATTTAAGAAAATTTTGATTTTTTATAATAAATTTATAATCATCTTTATAAAAAATTATAGTTGTCTCAAGTGAACCCAAAAAATTGAGATAGATTATTCGTGTGGAGATCTAATATAGAGAACAGTCAGATTTTGTCTATGTGAATAATAAAAGTATAATTATTGTTTATGACTAAACTTTTATTATTATTTGCAGAGATAAAATCAGTGTTATATGTATCTGATCTCAACACGGATATAATTCTGGGAATGTCCGGTCAAAAAATTCTCAATGGCAACGACACTTGCTGAAAAATGACTTGATCCGGTCAAACATTTGCCCTGTTTTTTTTTTTTTTGGACATTTAGGCCATTTAAGGCAAACTCACACACACAACGCATACACATAGACTCGAATCCTGGACCTCTTAGTTGGAAGCCTAAGCTCTCAACCAATAGGCCAAGGAGAGTTGTGTGCCCTGTTTTTTTTCACTGTTACGCTTCAAGAAGTCCCGCGCCACGAGGAGGTTGGGGACTTGGGGTTCATCGCACTCGCACATGCCCTGTTAGCTTTAAGAAAATATTATTATGTTTTTTTGCTGCTTATTTCGTGTCCTACTCTTTCCATTACGTTCCCTACTCATTTTATCTTATAATTTGACTGCTATGGTTTTATGAGAAGTAGATATATATTTGAAGAAAATAAATATTTACAATGAAAGAATAATTCTCGTATTTTAAAAATTATATAATTTTAATTTGGAATGTCTGTTGTCAAAAACCTTCATTATATGCTCATTTGAAGAAATTTGTTCGGAAATTTATTTCGGATGAAATTATATACAATGTGGGAAATTAAGCTCATTTTATCCAAATAATACTATTATGAAATGTAAATCTACTTGGACACATTGTATAACACATGAGAAAATTAATAATGTACAAATATCACATCTTTTTGTGATTCTACAATAAAGCTCTCTCCACCACGATTTTTTATTGTGGGCGGACACCAGATCGGAGAGAACCGTCCAGATTTTCTCTATCTACATTAAAAGCACAGTCAATTACTGTAGCAGCTGTGCTTTAACCGTTGACAGATAGAAATCAAGACGATTCTCTCCGTTTAGTGTCCGAACACAAGAATCTACCCTCTACCACACACTTAAGTTAAAAAAAAAATAAAATTAAAATTAAAACTAAATAAAAAAATGGAGTGCTCTCCTTTAGCTCTGCTCCATCTTTCGTAGTCTCTGCGGACCAACAGAACGGTTCCCATGGTCGGCCGAACACCAAGCAGGGACTTCACGCTTACGAACCATATAGAAAATGAAAATCATATTCACTTTCATTCGCCATAACAAGGGCAGTTCACCCTACAGCGACGCAACAGCCGGCGCCGTCGCCGTTTATGCAAACGTCGTACAACTCGTCGCCGATGACATCCGCGGCGTGGCCGTCGGCTTGATCATGACCGTCGATACGCTGCACCCCTTCCTCCTATTGTGCTCTGAGATCAGCTCACGGCAGAACCATTCTAATCTCTCGCCGTTAGTTCTATCTGATACCTTCCGCCCACGAAATAACATCGAGTCGACGCTTCGCTGACTCAGCATCTCCTTCTCCGCCGCCGCCGGCGACATTCCCCGGCTTCCCAGGAAGTTTGCCTGAAATCCCCCTGCTCTTCTTTAGCTTAAGGGTAATTTTGTAATTCTTCTTTATTAAAGTTTACCTGAATGCGGACGTAGCTGGTTGCCATTGGTCCGTTTTGTCGGAAGGCCATAGCCACCGCTTGATCGACCTATTTTCGTCAATGAAATAAATTTATTTTAAAAAAATATATTTTTTCTTAACTTTGTCATTTTTTTAGATAATGGTATTTTGATAGTTAGATATATGAAAATGACTATGATACCCTTTATTCCAGATAAAACGCCTTACCATTTCTGCCGCATTCTCACCGGCGATATTGACAAGCTCCGTCGGCGACGAATTGCTGCTCCCAAGCGAGACGACGAGAAGGTCCTCGACATTGTTGGCTAACGGGAACTCCAGCTTGTTATTCAGAACATGTGTGATAGCCGTCGCCGTCGGATTCCGCATTGCAATGCTTCCGCCGATGGCGAGGATTCGCGACCGGCCGTCCACCGACCGAATCTCTACCGTTTTCTTTTCCGTGCAAGTAGCCGCGCACACGTCGCGGATGGAGAAATCGAACGCGTCAGACTCCACCGCATCGGCCCTCGAGAACACGAACGGCGCCCCTGTCGCCAAATCGTAACAAGGTATCAGCACAGGCTTGATCGTGTTCCGAAGAGTTGATTCCCCAAATATCCGACGGTATATTCCACTGGATCGACAGAATATCGTTTTCCTTATGGCAGAAGGGAACTTCCGCTGGTTCTTCGAGACGACTCGTAGCGCCTCGCCGGCGGAGAAGAGTGGGCGGCCGTCCGGCGCACAGGTGAACAGCATTGCGGCGAGGACTCCTCCAGCACCAGATCCGGCAGCTAAATCAAAGAAATCGGCGATCCTGGCGGTGGAATCCCCACATTGCTCAGCAAGGGAGGCCTCCAGGCGGGCAAGTGCGACGGCGGCGATGACAGCGTTGCCGGCATCGATGGACAGAATGCGTACCTTTCCTGCGCTTGAGGGTTTTGGGAAGCGGTCTGCAGGCTTGACCGGAGCCTCCAGAGGGTTACCTGTGGCAAACAGCCTGGGATCATCAAATCCAAAGAGAAACTTGCTCTCTAAAATGGAGAAGATTTGGTAACTGAGCTTGTTAATGTCGAAACTTGGCTTCATCATCGTTGTCGCCTCCGACGCCATTTCTAGGGTTTTGATATCTGTGCTGGAAGGGGAGAAGGGGCAGAGAGCCTTTTTTTTTTTCGTAGTGAGAACGGCGAGCTTTTCTTGGTTTGGCTTTATATAGTGGAAAGAAGGCGCGCAGGAATACAGGATAATGGTGCCGGCTCTAATTAGTTAAAGCTAGTGTCTACATTTTTGTGCTCGGAGGATATCACCCTCAATAATTTGATGATATAAATGATAAAAAATAAATTAGATGAGTGATATATTTGATATTAAAATTATATATGAATGATAGGTATATAATATTAATATTTTTTATATTAGATATATAAATAATATGAAATAAAGTGGCATGTATGTAAATTTCCCTTTATTTTATTATCAAATTCTTTTAGGTTAATTGATCATAACTTGGTGGAATCAAGGAAGTTTTATTTGGTTCGGTCGACCGAATGACAGAAACATTCGGTCGGAGGACGTAATAATTGTTCGGAATCAAGAGGCCTGACAGGTATCGAGGGTACCGAGTTTTTCAAAAAACTCGGTACACCTCGGTACCGCACAATTTTTGCCTGCGACCGAATGTTTCTCTACATTCGATCGGAGGACGTAATAATTGTTCGGAATCAAGAGGGCCAATTGGCAATTCTCACCTTTAAAATTTTATCTCTTTAATAATTACGATCCATTAAAAAATTTCTCTCTTTATTGCATCTTGAAATATTCATAGTGATATAGAAATATTAAATTTTTGTCTTAATTGTGTATGAAGATTCAACACATAAATAGATAAAAGAGTCGGATATGAGAAAATTGTTACGTGAAAAATCTTAAAAATGAGAAAAAGTACGGGGCATTGCCCAGTGGAAATGATCTCACTATTGTTAGTGGTTAATTAGAAATAATGCTTTTCATCGGAGGAGGGCACTGACTCAATGTAGAAAATATACATTGTATATAGCACGTTATATAGTTGGAGAATAACATTACATATGTACTCTTAAGAGAGTATTGTACTATTTGATTGGTTCGTAAGATAGTAGACTCGTAGTTGGATAATAGTGGTTGGAGGGACCGTAATTAGCATTGGTGGTTGGAGTGACTGTAGTCGGCAGACGATGTAGGTTGAAAAAACCACAGTTAAGTGATAGAGGTTGGATGGAACGTACTTATAAGATGATGATGATTGGGAGAAGATCCGAAGGTCGTAGGGTCCAGGAGAACTTCTAGTGGCAGTCAGAGAGTAGACATAAATCTTGTGGCGTTCGATGGTCGGGAAGAACTCCAACAATGACAACGCAGGATGGAGAGTGCAAGAGAGCTCTCAAGTTTTTTTTCTCTCCTGCCCGCATTTCATGTGAAGAATGAGGGGTCATTTATAATTTTTTAGGAGTGATATTCTCAATAAATATGAAGAAGATCCAGGATAAATTTGTAGTGTTCTATAGGATGGCTCATACTGATTTCTTTGATCATGAAATATTTATCTAGTATGTTATATTCGGATAACATTTGTTAATTCAATTAATACTTTGAAGGTTTTAAATAGGCTTTGATCCCTTGATTTGGGCACATTCGGCCTCTGATTTGACTGAATTTAGTGCTATTGTGTTCGTATTCTTGAGATGTTCAATTTGACTATAAGTTTGTTAGAATCAGAGTTTGGATGATCTCAAATTTAATTTGGACGCTCCCAAATCATATTTGTATCAAGATTCATGCAAGACAGAAGACGATTTTTGGTGATGTATCATTCTTAAACTTATATATCTTTAACATAAATTTGGGTTGAATTTTTAAAAGGAGCTAAATTAATATTTAATTAAGTAATAGGAGCTTACGAATAATAAAATTAGAAAAATGAGAAAATACGGTAGATCATTTTTCGTATTCAAGACAATGAAAAATCGTTTTTTTTTGTATTCAAGAATATGAAAAATATTTTATCGTATTTTTGAATATGGAACAGTTTTATGTATTCTTTAAGAATATTGCTTTCTTTTTTTAAAATTTATTATTTTTATAAACAATTTCTCTTTTCTTATTTTTAATTTTTTTAATTTCTATTTTTCAATTTAATTATTTTCTCTAAGTTAAAATAAATTTAAAATTTTAGCAAATAAAAATTTAAAAATATTCCAACTTTAATTAGTATTCTAACTTCAATTAAATTAGTTCTATTAAAATTTTATTATTTGTTAAACTACTAATTATTTTTTAAAATTTTAAATTAAAAAGTATTCTAACTTAGCTAAAATAAATAGATTAAAAAATAGATATTAAAATAACTAAAAATAAGAGTTCATAGTCTTATTTTTTATATGATAGAAGGAACACTAGCAATAATAATTATATTGAACTAATTTTTATATAATATACTTCTTAACATTATACCGAGATCTAGCACGTATATAAATAAAAAAGAGTCGCAAGGAACGCTAGAGTTTTTATATGAAGAACTCAAAAAAAGAAAAAAAAATAAGATTTGATATAGTTGAACTAATTCTCCTAATATACGTCTGGTTACAAATAATGTCTTTGCCCATAATTGAGGAAGGTTTTGATGCAACATATTAATTATAAACATGGTGAAAGTTAGAAGATCGAGCACGATGGCATGGTTTGTGTTCAAAACATTGTTTGTTATTTATTTGATCATTCTTCTTTGAGGATGGGAATCAGAGACCAAAAAGTCTATTATAAATCTCTGTGCTGACATTTTTAATCAAAGTTGGTATTAATGATCTGCATCAGCTTTATGAGCAATGTCGTGTATAATTGGTGATGACATGTGACGAAGTCAGCATGTGTCATTGGTCAAATGATTATAGTTGAGTGACCGTGGCTGAAGAACTGTAATTGGGCAATATTGGTTCTATCGTTAGAACTTAGGTGTTTCTTATGTCCTCTTTCATACGTATGTATGCAGATTTTCATATAAATTTTAAAATTTTAAAATATTAAAACTTCTCTTTTTTTACAGTTATGGACGTTCTAATAGTCAATACAATTAAAAATACATAGAAGTGATGTGTGCATGTAAATCTCCAATTTGAAAGCTACTATAGAAATCAACTACCCAATACATAAATTTATCGAAAGTAGTGGTAAAAAAAAACTTTGGTTGCGATCTAAAAAGCAAAGCAGAATGGAATTTGTCCAAAAGAAAACCTTAGTAGAATATGGTCAATAAATTCTTTTCAACCCATGTAAAATACTCACAATAAGTCGTGTCATCAAATCCAAAGTCAAGTCAAATAGAGAATATAGATTGAAAAGTCTTTTAAATAGAATGCATTTCCTAATGTTAATCACACCTAAGTACAAATTCAATAGACAACCTCAATAGATAATATATACTCTTCTTTTGAATTTCTTAGATCAACATTAAAGGTAGACAATGATGATTCAAAAGTTATTATCCTAATATGATAGCTTATACTTTAAAGTGAGTCAATTCTCAATGTAGAGAGTGAATCACCATAATAAAGTGAAAGGGTTCTCTCTCCACATTGAAAACTAGTACAATAATAGTAATTGAATCACCAAGAAGTCAAAGGGAGCATGAAATGACTCAAAAGGATGATAGGGTAGATGTAAGAAATCAAGAAAAATATAAAAAAACCATAATTAATCTATAATTCATGGATCAATCATCTTATGCTATTAAGTTTGAAACTACTTAGTTGTAAATGCAATCAGCATAACCCAACCATGAGAAAGTATGCCAATAATTATTAATTATGTTATTCAGAGTCATCCTCATGATCTAAAATTGAGAAAAAATATTCAGAATTTTTAGAAATATAAACTCTAAGAGACGGATCTAAAAAGATGTAAAACTTATAATCACTAACGATAGACATATTATCTATGAAAAGAGAGAAATATGAGAGCCTAATTATATGTAATGAGAATTACTCAATTTGACTTACTGACAACAACAACATAGCATGCTAAGACAACCATCTAGACTTATCAATTAACATCATGCCTTAGAGTAAGAAATAATATGTGTGTATAAATTATCTATTCTCAAGTAAGATACTTTAAATATTCATTTGACCGATCAACGGAGAATTTTGTTTGCTAAGAAGCTCAATACTAAGACTTCGTTTGTGACGACTTTCTTAGTACTTCTTAAAGCAGTTTTTCATACAAAAATTACAAAAAAACTGTTTTAAGTAGTAAAAAAGCATAAATCTTATACAAAAGATATAAAAAATATTTTTTTATTAAAAATGGCATTAAGATAAATTTAAAATCTAAATTCAATAAATTAATTATCAATTTATTAAAATTAATAAAAAATTCTTATCCTAAGAGCTTATCTCATTATCGGAGGATGTTATAAAGCACCAACGCTCGTGAAAGAACATGCCAAAAAAAAAAAAAAACGCACATTAGTCAATCTCACCCATAAGAGCTGATATATCATAAAAAAATTATCTTGATTGGGCACGAATCTCGAAGCAAAATCAAGCTGGAAATTTCAAAAAATTAAATCCAGAATGACCCGAACTCCGATTTTAGCAAACTTATAGTCAAACTGATCGTCTCGGAAATACGAACCCAACGACACCAAATTCGACTCAATTCGAGCCCAAATGAGTCCATATCAAGGACCCGAAGCTCTATTGGAAAGTTTGAACCACAATTTGAGTTACCAAAAGGTTTCCAAACATAATGTTCTTATAGTCGAATCGAGCAACTCGACGAGACGAATCTAACGAGCCCAAGATCGCCGAATTCCGACATCATTATAAACTTCAAATTTTTGACGAACGGTACACGATCAAGGGATTCAATATTGGTCGTCCATCGAACCACTCCACATTTGCTCATGATGTCTCACCTATTTACTGGTCATGCCACTCCAGAAATCTATAAATAGACCTCTCATTTCTCTTGAGAGAGGACCCAAGCAAGAGAAGCAAGACGAAGAAGAGAAGAAGAGAAGAGTAGGAGGGAAGAACTCCTCCTCGACCATCGCCGGGATTCTACCCGGCTTCCACGGAATGCCAGAATTCTGCCCGACTTCCAAGTGACGTTGGAATTCCCGCCCAACTTCCAAGTGATGCAGAAATTCTGCCCGACTTCTAAGTGATTCTAGAATTCAGCCGGACTTCCAAGTGACGCTGGAATTCCACCCGACTTCCAAGTGACGCTGGAATTCTTCTCGACTTCCATGGGATGCCGGAATTCCTCCCAACTTTCAAGTGACGCCGAAACTCCATCTGATCTTCAAGTGATACCGAAATTCTATCTAATCTCTAAGTGAATCTGGAGTTTTGCCTGAATACCATCTAACGCTGGAGTTCTCCCCGGCCGCCGACTAACGTCAGAATTCTACTCGCAGCCGAACCTCCGCTTGTTGCCAGATTTCTACCCGATATCAGACTTCTGCCCATTGTCAAATTTTCATCGGACATATATCCGATGCTGGATTTATGTCCATTGCTGGACTTCTATCTAACATAGTCCTTCCGACCTCTGTTGCCCGCCGACTACGGTCATTCTAACTTACGTCGCCCACCGACTACAATCCTTCCGACTTCCGTCGCCCGCCATCTACGGTCCTTCTGACTTACGTTGCCCACCGACTACGGTCCTTCTGACTTACGTCGCCCATCGACTATAATTCGTCCGACCAAATGAACACATCAACAATATTAGCTCTTTTGTAATTCCATCATGTAATATACTGTATATGATGTACATAAAGCCAAGGCCTTCCCCCAAAAAGGGTCTCATTTGTAATCAACTGCAAATACTAGTTGATTCATTCAAATTGGGACCCCATGGTTTTTTCCCCTTTTCAGGGATTTTCCACGTAAAAATCTTGGTGTCTCATATGAATGCTACTCTATCTCTCTTATCTGATTGCGTGCCGGATTTTCGTACAATGCTAAGACGCTAAACTTTATATTTCTCTACCACCGCGAATACTCCAGGACGCAACAAGAGCTATTTTGAATTATCCTAATTTTGTTTTCAACCTAATTTTACTAAATTATTCAACTATTTATTCGAAAAAATAATTAAAAAAAATTCTCTACACATTGCCGGCATTTTCATGACCGTTTCAGCAACATTAAAAGCAATAGGTATTAATTAACATATAATTATACTTTTAAGTTTTTAAATTTTAACTAATTATGATTTAAGGATAATCCATCGAGGATAAGAAGAAAACGGCATTTTCGTCTACAAAAGGATAACGGCCTCTCCCAACGGTCACCAAGCTAGATGACGCGGGAGAGACCTACGCGTACCTTCCCAACTCCACTCACCGTCGGATTTCATCTCATCACGAACCGTTTCATATTGACGGCAGATCTGGTACTCGCATAGAAGTTTTCATACAGACAGTCGTACAGTTGTTAATACTCTTTTTTATTTTATTTAGTTAAATTTTCTCTAATATATTTCAATTTCTTCCCTATTTTTGGGTCTCCGACTTTTCTTCCACTCGCGCCTCCGATGTTTCAGTACGAGGACGAGAGAGTACCCCCAAATCCTGCCAATCTCTCTTCCTCTTTCCTCTTTTATGGTTGCGGATGTTTCCTACAGAAAAAAGCGAACTTTGCCTTCTCGCTCGTCTCGCGGTCGCAGGCCATTTGAGATGGCGCAAGCGAGAGCCGATATCTAATCTGGGAAACCCAATCCTTAATGCTGCTAGGGTAAAATCATTTTTTCTTCTCCTTGCAATCCAAATCTCAGTTCTTGTTTATTATATATTGTTATCCATCTCTGATTTTTTTTCCTTTTATTGTTTTTTTTTTTGCTTGATCCCTTCGTTTTGTGGTTCTTCTTGCGAATTGGTTTTGCTTTGTTGATGCCTATCGCTCTTCTTTGTTGCCACCGATGAATTTATGAGGGTTTTTTTTTTCTTGGAAAGCCTCCAAGAATTTCGATTCTCTTGCTGCAGTTTGATTGGGATGAGATTCTCTTAAATTGCACAGCTGTTTTTATCGATTTATGGTATGAACGAGTTTTTCATTGGATGCTCTTGAAAACCTGGAAAATTGGGCTTTTTCTGTGTTTCACATTTGTTATGAGTTATAGATGAGTATGGTGTGGAATTTTTCCTTTTAGATTTGAATTGTTATGTTTTCTTGTCACTATGAAGCGTTGCTTTGAATGATGGAAATAATTTCTCTTCAAATGCACGTGGGTGGATCCAGCTTCTTTTTTCCAGGGTGGACAAAATTTTAATTAATTACACATCAACAATAATAATAACAAAAATAAAATAAAATAATAATAAAATAATAACATCAAATAGTAATAATAACAAAATATTTTTTTTTTTAAATTAAGCAACTCTGGCATCTTTTTAGTCTTCAAAATAGTATTAAAAAGTTTAGTAAGCCATGAAATTCCTTCATCTCCTAAGCATAAAGGTGTTGTTGTTGTTGTTGTTGTTGTTGTTGTTGTTGAGGAATGCCCACCCGGATATCAAGGGGGATCTGCCCATGACGGGTAAGACTATATAAATGAAATCCTTAGAATTTTCGTTGGCATGCACCTATTGTTTTAGGGTATTAACTCAATAATTTTGTGAGGATGAGCAAAAAAATTCAAAATAGATGGCTTTAGAAATACATATAATTTTATCTAAACTATTTTCTTGGATAAAAAAAACTGGTTCAAAAGTCTGTTGTATATTGTATTATTTGAACCAACTTTTGTTTTAAATTTCCACCTACAACTTGTCTAAATATAAGATGGAAGAGAGCTTGTGGGCTATAGCTAGATACAATTGAGAAATGTAGCATTTAGGTGGAAATCTTTTAGCCTTTGGCTTGAGAGATTTTGGGCTTCTCTTTGTGTTGATATTTGGCTTACTAGCTTTTGCAGAAAATATTTTCTTGTGCTTCATTTATTTGTATACATGTCTGGCTTCCCAATTTCTCCTTTTAGAATTGTATTGTTTCATACGATATATGCTCATGTCTGAATAACCTAGTTTGTCTTGCTTTGTGTGATCAGATTTGGGGAGCTTGGAGTCTCTCTTTTCTCTGGAGTTTGATCTGGCCCTTCATATCATGGCTGCAACTCCCAACAAACAAAAAGGGGGCCCTTCCCAGTTTTTAGCAGCTCTCTCTTCTGCTTTCTCAGAATGGATATTGATTATTCTATTGCTAATTGATGCATTTTTCTTATACTTTGCATCAAAGATATTTCGTTCTTGGAAATTACAGACCCCCTGCTTGTTGTGCTCGAGGTTTGGCTATCTATTAGGCGATGAGAAGTTGGGACTTTATAGGGATCTTGTTTGTGATACCCATAAGTTGGAGATATCATCGCTTACCTTTTGTCATATTCACAAAAAGCTTGTTGATGCACGTGAAATATGTGAAACTTGTCTTCTTTCATTTGCTAAAAAGAATTATACTTTGGAAACATATAAATTTTTCCTAAGCAAACTCAGCATGGCCCTTGATAATGGAAATCAGATTTTCACTTCATTCTCAGACAAGATTGTGAAAGTTCCATTACTGCACAAGGATAATGATGCTGGTTCTCCACTCACAAGACCTTGCTCATGCTGTTCTCAGCACTCAGGAAATAAACCCTATGCATATAGAGAATCTAAGAACAAACCTATTTTCAATAAGTTTGATTATCATGGCAGTCCATTATCTAGTGCAAAATTGCGAGCTCGGGCACATCTTGAAGACGGATTGAACAAGGCAAAAGAAGTTCTTTCTGTACGATTAGCAGATTATAAGCCAGGAGGTCAGAGTTTTGACCTTTTATCTCACTTCAAATATAGAGAGTTGAAGAGTACATCAGAGCCCGAGTCAGAAGTTCCATTATTGGATGATGATGATCGAACCTCTATGCCGTGCAGAACCGAAGATGTCAAGGAAAAATATTTTGAACGAAGTTTGAAGTCGTTTTCATCTATTACTAATTCCCCAGAAACATCTTTGATTACAGACGATATAGTCCTAGAGAAGCTTATTCATCCTGATCCTGTTATATCTGTTGGTTCTGCTTCAGTTTTGAAGAGTCAACATGCTGAGGATGGTTCTTGTGATGAATCTTTTCTTGAATCCAATGTTGACTACGATCATGGCTTGAATGAAATCAGCCGGACCCATTTTGAAGGAAGACCAATTCTGCCAACATCATCTCAAATAGTAACCAAATCAGTTCCTACTGGAATCTCAAAAGTTAAAGGTGAGAAAAGATCAGAATTACGATCTGCTTTGCCTAATCATACTTTTATGTTCAAATTCTTTTGTACTAAAACTTCATTATTGCCATTTTACAATAGATCCTTCAGAAGAAGATGTTTTAGGAACATCTTGTACTTCACATGTTGAGATTAACGAGCCTACAGAATTAACTGAGATTGCCCTGACAAGGGAATCTGCTAGAATCCATGAAGACCTGAAGCAGCGTCTGTCCCAAGTTCTCTCTCCTAGGTGGCTTCAATCTCCTTGGAATGATATCATTCATGGTGCCCGAAAGGATAATGAGTGCAAATTATCTCATACTTTAAGCTTTAATGGATTGCCAAGTATTAATAAGAAGCCTGAGGCTGAGTTATCATGTTCAGAGTTTGCAGATGGAAGTTTTGTTAGTGAAATTGAACGAGAGGTTTCAGTTGAACGTTTAAAAAAACAGATTAAAATAGACCAGCAATCCCTGAGTATTCTATACAAGGAACTAGAGGAGGAAAGAAATGCTTCAGCTGTAGCAGCAAATCAAGCTATGGCCATGATCAATAAGTTGCAGGAGGAAAAGGCAGCGATGCAATTGGAGATAATGCAATACCTAAGGATGATGGAGGAACAAACTCAATATGAACAGGAAGCACTTCGAAATCTAAATGACCAACTCACAGAAAGGGAGAAGGAGATACAGGATCTTGAGACACAACTTCAAAGCTGTAGGAAGCTACCCGGGGATGAATCAATGGCTGAAAAAGCTTTACAACCATTATTTGATTCTGAGGAAAGTGAATATAGTACCACCAGTACACCTCATGTCGTTAGAACTAGGAGAAGGAGCAAGCACCACTTGCCAAGTGTAATGTTCGAAGATTCGGCGTGGCCTCCATCAAGCCCAATAAAAGAGAATTTGTTGGATTTTGAAGATGAGAGGGAGTATATCGCAGAATGCTTGAAGAGGTTGGAGAAAAATGTTCGTTTGTTCTCTTGTGCTGATGCATCTCGACTTGTTGAAGAGGATGACGAGTTTGACGATGATATTGATGCAGATAATACCAAGTGGCCAAACCTTGAACTACAAGAAGGCGTAGCTGAAGATGAAGGAAATAAACATAATTTGTATTCTCAGAATATAATTGAAGGGAATTCTGGGACTCCAGAAATTAATCAAATGAAAGAAATGATTGCATCTGAAAAGCATCAATCTCCACATATAAAAAGCCTTTCTACTGAAGAAAACTGCACCGTTGGAGAACATGAAAACTATAATAGTCTAAACTCTTCTTGTACTAAGAAAATGAAGCCAAAGACAGGTAGAAGAAATGGCGGAATAGCCCTGAGTGATGAGATTGAACACTTGAATGCAAGGTTGGAGGCACTTGAAGCAGATCGAGATTTTCTGGATCGTACTATTAATTCACTTAGATCTGGAAAAGATGGGCTACAATTTGTTCAGGAAATAGCTACTCACCTTCGAGAATTAAGAAAAATTGGGCTCACTCAAAGAAAGAGTCTATTTTCTTAAAATTGCTTTCCTTAATCTTGAAGGTAATCAATAAGATGGTGCCAAAGCAGTGCATTTGTTTTATCAGTATTATGTAATCCAGCCAAATATGCATGAATGGATGCTTACTTCCCTATATGATAATCTCGTTTCTTTGTTTTTGATGTTTCAGTGGACTTTTGAATTCTCTGGAAGTTTACAATGTCATTGGCATCCATAGCCTTCTCTTTACCTGTTTTATGCTCAGCATCTTATGTATATAATGTTATAAATAGGTAAGCTTATATATAATTCACAGAGGTATCTTTTTCTTTGAAATTCTTTTACCTTTTCATATCTCAAAATATTTTTTAAATTTAATTCATTAGAACAATATTAACATATGAAATACAATACTTAAAATTCATATATCCCGATGATTGCTTATATCTCTATTTCCGCTTATGTCTCCTTATGCCTCTGGCACCTCCCGCAACTGCATTGAGTAAGTAGGGCTAGAATCTCTGACACGTGGTGGATCTATCAGAATCTGTTCAACCAAACAAACCCACCTCCTCTCTATTACTTTGCTATATTGTTTTGCAGCTAAGTGTGTGACATTATATGCATTCAAGCTGTCCATATAAACAGCTAGCCTTTGTAATAAAGTAGAGGGAAGATAACAAATATTTGAAGATTAGTTTGTGGGTTCTATATCCTGAGTAAATTAGGTGATGCTGCCCATCTATGATGCACCGACACTTCTCCTCAAAGAGGCGTGCAGTGCCTGACACGACATGCGTTCGACACTCCTCCGACACGTGTCAGACACGTCGGAAACGTGTCCGATTAAAAAATATTAAATACAAATTGGACACACGTGTTCGGACACGTGTGTCTTAAATATTTTATGATTTTTTTAAATATAATTTCTTGTATTTAAAGTTTTACATATTTAAAATATACAACAACAATAACAATATCAAGCCTTTATCCCACTATGTGGGGTCGGCTACATGAATCTTTTTTCTCCATTGTGTCCTATTAAAATATAAAATATAAATATTTAATAAAAATATAAATTTTTACATATTTAAAATATAAAAATTAAATTTATTATTTCATATTCACAACACCAAATCGATCTCCCGCACTTAATACCCCATTCATCGAATATTCTCATTTTCATTTCTCTTTAGCGGGGAACAACTTTGATTTCACAACAATGTCCGATGGATATTAACTTAAAATTGATTATTATTTATAAAATATTATCTAAATTTGACGATGGATATTACATTTAATCTCATAGGCAAGTTCAATGTTTAAGTACAGAAGTATGAGCATGATCAATTGATTTGGGTGACTTATTGAGCCTTAATCCTAGGAGAGTAAGAGGGGTTAATGACTTGAGGCCTTGGATGACTTCAAAATTTAGAGAGTTGTAAGAAAATTAAGGCTGTGTTCAGGAATTTTACCCTCGGCGGCCCTCTTTCATCTCAATAGGATCCTAAAATTTAACTCTCCTCAAAGGAAATGGTCTTCATTTTAATTAATTTTTTTTAATTTTTTTTTAAATAGGAAAAAATTAAAAAAAATTGAAATTTTTAGAAAAATGTAGAAAAAATTTTGGGAAGAAAATTATTAATTATATGTGTATTTATTTATTTTACTTTAATATTTTCTTCTTTTATTATTTTAAAAAAGGAATTGTTTTTATCTTTGGATTTAAATAAATTAAAAAATTTTGAATTTTTTTTGAAAATTTAGGAAATTTGTTTTCCAAACTTGCATACTCCTAGATTTATAAATACCCTCCTTGGGGTGGGGGAAAAATTATGGTCCTCTTATGGAGACTCTAGTTCTCCCCCATAAAAGGAGGGAACAACTATACAGCTAGAGTCTAAAGACCATTGTGCCAATCAAATGCTCGGTCTTTTTATGCAGGATCCAATTTTCCTATGTAAAAGGAGGGAACAACTATCCAGCAAGAGTGTAAAGACTGGAGGCGGCAGCAAAGGCTTAGTCCTCTTATGCGAGCTTTAGTTCTCCCTCGTATGAGGTGGGAATAACTGTCCGATAAGAGTCTAAAGATCATTAGTGGCAGTAAAGACTCAGTCCTCTTATACATGCTCTAGTTTTCCCCTGAAAAAGGAGGGAACAACTGCCTAACGAAAGTGTAAAGATTGTCAATGGTTATCAAAACCTGGGCCTCTTGCACAAGCAACCATAGGGATGTGCCGATGATGGTAGTCGGGCAAATGGCTAATGATGTCCATTATGAGGTATAGGGTCAACTGTAACGCCCCAAGATCTAACTTGGAAGAATTATTCAGTCAAACCTGTAAGTCGAACTTCTATCAGAGCTATCTATAGTCGTCGACTATCAATCAGTATTAAACAGTCTAACAAAAATTCTATATTTAAAACATCAATGTACATATTTCTATTCATTCCCAAAAGTTCATTTACAATATTCAGGATCTTCACATTAATCACATGTAATCCATCATGTCCTGAGTACAAAAAGAATCACTATGACAAAAAGAACAAAAACTTGAAGATTCCTGATCAACCTCAATCTCCTGCTCCCTTGCCCTGACCTGAAAATATTAACCATATATAATGAGCTTCAAACAGCCCAACAGGACACCAAATACCTACAACTGAAATCAAAGCACGGTACGAAAGCAATATGCATGTCAATCAGTCAAATCAATATCAGTCATTTACACATGATCATTGAATCAATGCAGAATTATAATTCTTGCAAAAACAGTAATCAATGCTTATACAATAATCAGTACATAAACGGTAGTCATATAGCAACAGTTGAAACCAAAATCATCGGTGAGGAATTACTGAACAGTAAAATCCCATAAAGTTCAATAAACTAGTACGTGCGTCAAATCTATACAATAGTCATCGTATCTATAACACCAGTCAATTCAGTAGACAAATCATCGTATCAAAAGCTCAGTCAAATCATTAAAGAAATATTCGTATCGATAATACAAATCAAACCAGTCAATAAATTATCATACCAATAATATCAATCAGTATAAAATGTCAAATCAATACTATCGTTCGTGACTGTTGAAATCAAATCAATGAAATAAAATCATAACATCATTTGAAATAGTTGGAATCAATCAATGCCGTAGAATTGTATCAAGATGTACACTCTCAATTCAGTTATCCAATATCACGTGCTCAATGATAATCTATATCACATGTTCAGTGAACCACATGTCACTTACTCAGTATATCACGTACATAATATCAGTACAGTGAATCAGTAGTATCAGTATCAGTAACAATCCAGTAACTTGAACAATAACAATAATGCTAGGATAGTAGAATCATGCAGAAATAGTAAATCTGTACAGTAGCAGTAACAATACTGCTAAACATGCAATTCAGTACAGTAGTCATACAGAGCAAGTAGAAGCACTGGCTATTAAGGTATTTTTCAATCTTTTTATCTTGTATCTTGTATTTTGTATCCGTTGGCTCAGTGAAAAGAGTCATCACTTTTTGCTCGTCGGCACAGTAATCATCTCCTTATAACTCCCTTCAGTAATCACGTGATCAGTCGAGGATAACCCCAAACCCTTTTTAAAGGAAAGCCCGTCGGCCCACCATCCTGTACAGGTCCAGTCTCCAACCAACGATTCAACAAGTCTTTACTTGTCTTTCACACACACAGTACACAATAATATCAACAATTTCAATCATATAACCATATTCATCAGCATCTTGTCAACACATTAAACATGAATTAGCTCAATTTAGAAAATTCCTTAAAATATCGTATAGTAGACAGAAGTCATTATAAAATGCACCATTTCAGAAAATTACCAAATTACTAGAAATCGTGTAAAATAACAGTTCAAAACTTTACTTATATTGAAGCACTATTTTCTAACATCCGGATAATTTTCATTCGATAAAAACACATCAGAATTCAAAATACCTGGTGAAAACTTTCCAAAAAATACTCAAATCGTGTAAAATCATCATTTCCATAACATACCAAAAGTTATGTGGAAAAGTTTCGTCAATACAAAGATATGCACATTTTTCGATAACGGAAACACAAAACTAAGCAGAAAAATACTAAAACTTGAAATTTTTGAAATCAGAAATAGGATTCGGATTCCTTACTGCGAGACAAACAAATCTTCAAACAGCGACGTCGGACAAAAATTGCACCGCGAGCTCCAAAACCAAGCCTTTTTCTTCTCTTTTTCCTTCTCTTTCTCTCTCCTACTTTTTCTCTCTATTCCAAATAATTCAAAATATCCCAAACGGATATTTATCAAGCAGGATCGTCCCGGACGATTCCTATTTGTCCCAGTACGATTTGCCCTTTGGACAAATTTCGTCCAGACGAAGTGTATTCGTTCCTTGACGACTTGCTCTATGGACAAATTTCGTCCCGACGAACCAAATTTCATCCTGGGACAAACCTCCTCTATCCACCAACGAAGAATCATTTCTTATAGAAGGTGCTAAACTATTGCATGCTGATCGAAAGATTCACGGTGGTAAAGGGAGATAAATTTTAACATCCGAGTTTTGTACAAAGATCCAGCACATATAGAGATAAGAGAGAGCGATGTGTAAGAATAATAAAATACACCATATTTTTTATATGAAACCCCCTGAAAAGGTGAAAAACTATATTTCTCATTAATTACAAATGATTCCACTAGTATTTCTCATTGATTACAAATGATGCCCTTCCTCTAGGGAAGTCATTAGTTCAATGCAGTAAATATATACTATATATAACATATTGCATGGTTGGAGTTAGAATATTCCTCTTACATGAGAGCTATTCTCAAGAAATCATTGTCATCTATGTTTGGTATGTAGGACAATAGTCGGGCAACAAATGTTGGAGGAATTGTAGTCGGGCGATGGTGGTTGATGGGAGCGTAGTCCGGTAACGGTGGTTGGAGGGACCTTAGTCGGGTAACAAAGGTTAGGGACCATAGTCAGGGGATAAATGTCAAGGATTATAATCAAGCGATTGAGGTTAGGGACCAATCAGGTAACTAAGGTCATAGGTACCATATTCGGTGAGTGATGAAGACTAGAAAGACCATAGTCAGCTGGATGTGGAGGTCAAAGAGACCATAGTTAGACGATAGTTGAAGGGAATAAAGTCAACAATAAAGGGTATGAATTGTAGTTGGGTGATGGGGGTTAGGTACTATACTCAAGCGATGTAGATTAGGGACTCT